GTTTATACTTTATCTCTTGGGCGGAGGATCCTCTTTTCCTACTGTTCTCTTGTAACTTTGTCTTTCAGATTTGCCCACTCCCACCTGCTCGTGGAAAGAATTAATCTGTCGCAAATGGGAAGGTCTCACTCAGAGGTTGCCGTTCTTAATGTAACTGAAACTTAGAGTAGTGTAATAAATGCTAGTAAATTTTACAGATGTTTAATTAAAATTACCTAGATGTCTGTAGTATTCACCCGCTGTACAAAAGAGCTGAGAGAGTTCTGTGACAGTAGGGAGCTGAGGGCCAGCTGCTGCCCTGAATTGCTTACCAATTTGCAATTTAAAATCAAAAATAAACACAGCCACAGTATTTGCTTAGGGATCTATCATCCTTGTTAGAGGACTAGGTTAGAATTGGGGTTGTTTGCTCTCGCCAGCAATAAAGCACAGCTAATCAGCTTTGGCTTTTGCCCTGCAATTTGGTGGAAGGGAACAGCTAGGCTGGGTTTGGTTCTCTCTGTTAGTGGAGAACTTGCGGAAAGTGTTAAAGGTGAAGTGCAAAGAAAAAAACGTTTTCTCTTACTGTTTCTGAAAAGATGTAGAATTCCACAGTGGGGTTCTTGTATCCCTCTCTTTGCCAGAAGGACCTTGGTCAGATCCTTGGAGGACGAGAATAGTGGTTTGGCCCAAGGCTGCCCCTGGAGTGAAGCTGCCACTCTCCTAGCTGAGGGCAGAATCATAAAATCATAGAATATCAGGGTTGGAAGGGACCTCTGGAGGTCATCTAGTCCAACCCCCTCCTCAAAGCAGGACCAATCCCCAATTTTTGACCCAAATGGCCACCTCAAGGATTGAACTCACAACCCTGGCTTTAGCAGGCCAATGCTCAAACCACTGAGCTATGAGCGGATGCTGAGTCGTTGGTTGTAGTGCAAGAGCTGTGGTTGACGTTGCGGCCTCATCACAATCTAGGTCCTCCAATAATATCCCCAAGGTCCTCTAGCAAACAGGAAGGAAGACCTGCTATTTCTAACTAAAAATTCACATGTGTGCAGGGAAATCAGGGAGGGCAGGGCTTAGTGGTGAGACAGTATTTATTCCTTTTCTTTATTATGTATTAAGAGTAAAAACAACTGAAGATGGCAGGGGAAGGCTAAGATGGCGAGACAGGCAAATGGTCTCCCATTTGTGTAGTAAACTCCAGCACCCACCCTAAGCTAGGTCTATGCTGCTTATGTACTATGTATGTATCTTGTGAACCTTGTAACTGATACTTGTAATCTCTTATAACTCAAGCCTGATCCCAGATGTATAGTACCTTCCTTTTTAACTTGTGTAAACTTGATTTTAAACATTAGCTTTAATTTTTAAAATTTATTAGGAACATAGGGAACACCACATGAGACCAAAACAATGATCTTTCTAGTCCACTGGCCTGTCTCTGATGATGACAATGCAGACTGCTTCAGAGGAAAATTACTTCCAGTCTCCACACACCTAAAAGGGCAATGTTATATTGCTGAAGTGGAGGAGGTGAGTTTCTTCCTGACATCAGCTGCTCATCAGTGTATGCCATGGAATGGGTGGATTAATAGCCTTTGTAATTGCTATCCTGTCATGTATCATTGCCAATGCTATTCTTAGTCAAAGAAACAACTAATCCTTGTTAGAATCCTACTTCAATAATTTCATGTGGTGGTGAGTTCCACAGGTTTATTATAGGCTAGTAAGGAGTTCCATGAAGTAATTCTATTACTTGATGGTATGTGTAAAGAGCATCTGAAGTAAGTGTGTGTGTGCGTGCACACACGCACACTATTTACATTCTTTTATAGAAATTGTATACGCTGTCACATCCTTCATGTATGTGTATTTTGATGCCTGTGCTATCCCAGTAATCCAGCAGTAGGTATCCTGATGGATTATTCTGGAAGTAAATCTTCGTTAGATTGGGTGGGGCGGGAAAAGAGAGGATCTATATGCTAAGAGCTTGGGCATGATGTATTGGAAATCCAGTCTCTTTCTGGAGAATCCCAAAACACTTTACACACTTTCTAGACATTAAAACACACACATCTCAAAAGAATCCAACATCTAGGTGATGCTTGATTCAGTTGCACATGCTATAACCAATGCTGATTTCAGACCATGAAGCTAAATGTTCCCTTCCCAAAATCTTCAGGCCCAGCAGCTTGTTCCCTCTGCCTTTGATGCTGTAGTGGTTGGGAGACTACTGCATTCTTGCTCTGTGTCCAGCATGGCTGAGTTTCTCTTTAGGTATTTCTTGCACATTCCTTCTCTGATTGGTGAATATGAAAAAAAAATAGAGGTGCATGCACCGCCTTATTAAAGATCAGCTAGTTATGTGTGCGTGGATTAGAGGGAGTATTTGGTTAGTGGGGATCCTATTGTCTCTTGAGACACAGCTGTTTTATATTAAAAAAAAAAAAAAAATTTGTACAGAGTTCAATTATCTCAAAATACTTTGTCAAAGGGAGAGACATGAACAGAAATAGACAAGGGACCAAACATGTTTTCAGCAGGCGGAGGATGGTGTTGATATCTGGACAAGTTTGGATAAAATAACTCTAGAGGTATTTCATGTATTGTAGTCTTGGGAGAAGGGTATGCTATCCTTTTAAGAAGCGCCTGTTTACAGCTGAATGGATTAGGAAGGGTACCTCTTAAAATAGGAATTGGTGAACTGGCTCTTTAAGTAGTGGCTGCCTGCTTTTGCAGGGAGAGAGGTACCAAGGTGTAGTCAAATAATAGCTCGGCTGATTCTGGAGAGAGAGAGAGTTATTGGGGTAACTTCCTTTTATAGTGAAGCCACTGGTGACATCTGGTTGCAGGGTGTAATTAGGGGGATGTCCCTCTTAAGCAGCAGTTGTGGTCATCTGGTTGCCCAGGTTATGAGGAGGAACTGCCTCTTTAAAGATAAAACTTACAAAAAGTTGGGCTTGTACTTTATGAAATATAGAAACTAGAAGGGTTTTTAATTTATCGATTGCTTGTTTTATATTAGAAATTCAGGTCCTGGTCAGGATGGACAATTAACTTGACAGAAGTAGTGCAATGATATCTCAAGAGTTAAGAGTTAAAACAGCTATGATGAGAGGTAGGGAATCTTAGTCAGACTGCTTGAAATTCTTGGCATTTTTGTATTAACCTGTATCTAATTTAGGGCTGTCAAGCGATTTAAAAAAAATTAATCTCGCTTAATCGTGCTATTAATAATAGAATACCATTTATTTAAATATTTTGGATATTTTCTATATTTTCAAATGTATTAATTTCAGTTACAACACAGAATACAAAGTGTACAGTGCTCACTTTATATTTTTATTACAAATATTTGCACTGTAATAAACCAAAAGAAATAGTATTTTTCACCTAATACAAGTACTGTAGTGAAATCTTTGTCATGAAAGTTGAATTTACAAATGTAGAATTATGTGGGTAACTCCACTTAGGGTAGCAGACTGTTTGTATATTGACTCCTTTAGGAATAACAGACCTAATATATCCAGACCGTCCAGAAGAGGGCTGGGGAAAATCCAGTCGTGAGAGTACATTGAAATAACCCTGCAACTAGTAACCAAGGTGGCTGGAAACCAGTATGTGACTGGTGGCTTGCAAATAAGCTGCTGGAGTGAGGGCTGCTGGACCTAGGGTGACCAGGTGTCCAGTTTTGTCCTGGTGATGCTTCAACTGGACCACCCAGTTGAAAAGGAATCCTGACCGCTCTGGTCAGCATTGCTGACTAGGCCATTGAATGACCAGTTTGCGGTGCCACAGTGGGGCTGGCGGGCTCCCTACTAGTACCGTGCCCCGTGCCGCTGCTCCCAAATCTGGAAGCAGACAGCACGTCCGGCTGCTAGCCTTAGGAGCTGCTAGGGGGCTGCATGCTGCCCTGCCCTCAGGCACAGCTTCCATGGGCTGGGTCAGGGCAGGGGAGGAACTAGAGCCACAGGCAAGCACTCGGCAGGCAGCTATTGAGGGGTGCATCTCCTGCTGCTGCCCGGCCCTATGCTCCTCGGGGGGGCTGGGCTCAAGCTGCGGCCTGTGCCCCGCTGTGAACCGCGGCCGGTCGCCCCATCGCTGGCACCCAGGAGTTGGAGGTTTGTGTATCCCTGTCGTCCAGTGCTGGGAATGGAGCTGCACCCCCCCCACCCCCCTCACTGCATCCCTCCCTGTCCTAACCCCCGCACTCCCATCCCCCTCACTGCACCCCCTCTCCTTCCCTAACCGCTTCCTCACCCTGCCCTTGGCCTTGGCCTCTTTCCCGCCCCATCCTCTCTCCTCTACCCCCAGCCCCATCTTCTTCCCCCTCCAGCCCACCTACAATTACAATAACTTTCGTGAACAAAAGCCATGAAGCTGGTTATGAAAAATGGGAAGAGGGGAGGGGAAAGAATCATAAAAAGCTGTGTGAAATTTTTCTTTTCTTTTTTTTTTTTTTTTAAATAACCCTTTTGGACTATTCTGCTGCCCGCTCTGGTGTCCTGCACCAAATAAAGCCTCGGGGCGGGCGGGGCGGGACAAGGGGGTCGGGTTTTCTGGCGCGAGAAAGCGGGCAGCCCGGGCTGGCCCAGCGCCGGGGCTAGAGGGGGGATGCTCGGAGCGCGACCTGCAGCCGCGTCAGGCTCCCCTGGGGGGCAGGGCAGGGGTGGCCCGGCCCGGCCCGGCCCGGCCCAGCCTCCCAGGGGTCGGGCTCGAACCTTGGGATCCTCCCTTACTCGCCCTGGGCGTGTGAACACAAACCCTTCCCGCCTCTGTCAGGAAGGCGGGGGGCCCCATAACTTCACGCCGCTAGCTGGGGGGCTGTGCGGGGGGGGGGGTAGCGCAGGGGAACGAGGTGCTGCCCCTTTAAGAGCCCCCGGGTGGGGAGGAGGGGGGAAGAGAGCGGCGGGGAAGGAGGCGCTGCCCCTTTAAGAGCGCGCTGGTTAGGTCATCCTTTCGCTCCGCCCCCCCGGGCTGGGCGGGGCCTCGCGCGCTCTCTGCGCTTGCGCCGTGGTGCCTCCCCGAGAGACCCGGTTCCCACCTCCCCCGGGCTGCGGCGCAGACACAGACACGGACGCCGGGCAGCGCCAGGGGCAGCCGGGGACCTACCGGGGGCGCGCGGCCGCGGCATGGGCTCGTGAGGGCCCCTCCCCTCCCCCCCGAGCGAGCCAGCGAGCGGGACAGAGCGGCCCCGCGGGGCGCGGCGGCGCCGGAGAGAACCCGGCCCCGCCGCACGGTGAGCCGGGGCGCTGCGGGCGGGACGCGGCGCCGGCTGGCACCATCGGGCACCGGGTAGCACGGGGCTGGGCGCTACGCTGTGGCGGGGTGCTGGGGGGTGTAGAGTGGTGTTGCGTGGCACAATCGGGTGCTGGCTGGTAAGCTGCTGGGTGGTACAGGGTGGTGCTGTATAGCACTGATTGGCATGGTGCTGGGTGGTGCTGTATAGCACTGATTGGCATGGTGCTGGGTGGTGCTGTATAGCACTGATTGGCATGGTGCTGGGTGGTGCAGGATGGTGCTGTATAGCACTGATTGGCATGGTGCTGGGTGGTACAGGGTGGTGCTGTATAGCACTGATTGGCATGGTGCTGGGTGGTACAGGATGGTGCTGTATAGCACTGATTGGCATGGTGCTGGGTGGTGCAGGATGGTGCTGTATAGCACTGATTGGCATGGTGCTGGGTGGTACAGGGTGGTGCTGTATAGCACTGATTGGCATGGTGCTGGGTGGTACAGGATGGTGCTGTATAGCACTGATTGGCATGGTGCTGGGTGGTGCAGGATGGTGCTGTATAGCACTGATTGGCATGGTGCTGGGTGGTACAGGGTGGTGCTGTATAGCACTGATTGGCATGGTGCTGGGTGGTGCAGGGTGGCGTGGTGTGGCATGGTACGGAACAGTACGTGTGAAGTGGTGCTGGGTGGCGCGGTGCTGGGGGCTACAGTGTGGTACTGGTTGGTGTGGCGCAGGGTGCTGAGTTGCAAAATGTGATGTTGGATGCTCAGGGGCTGGGTGGCACAGTGTGTGTGGTACTGGGTTGGCCCTGAGTGGTAGCGATTGGCCCGTGGGGTGACCCATGGCGTGGTGCGGGGTGACACTGAATTACATAGCACGGTGCTCTGTGGCACAACTTGGTTCTGAACTGCACTGAGCTGTGTCTAGAGGCATGGGGCAGTGTGGCATGACAACGCTGAGGGGTCTGTGGAACAGGATGTAAACTGTATTATTTGTCACGTGTATGTTTATATGATGAGTTGTAGATTTAGAAGGTGTGTATTTAGAACAATAAGGGGGCTGTGTATGTGAAGCGTGTATGTATGTAGCTTATGTAGTGTACACTATACAGTGTGAGGTGTGCTTGTGGCATATGGGGGTGATATACAATGTGACAAACATTGGAGAATGCATTGTATGTGTGCTGTCTGGTCTATAGCATGCAGTTAGAGAAACAGTAGTATGGACCTATGGTAATGATACTCATATTGCCTGTGTAACGTAACAAATCTAGTGGAGCACTACTGTGTTCTTAGGACTTCGGTTCCTGTGTAAGATGAAATTCAGTGCTGGCCGATGCAAGGTGATGCACTTTGGAAGAAATAATTTGAAAAACTCATGTGTTAACTGTAACTCAGGAAAAGGAGCTGAGCACTGTGGACAGCTCCATAAAAACCTCTAGTCTGCATGCAGCAAAACAGGTGTGGGAAGAAGGCAAGCTGGGATAACTAAGGAAAACATTGAAAATGTAGTGCTGGTATAAATCAATATACATGATCATATGGAATACTAACAAAAGGACACAGTAAAAATAGAGGGGACTCAAGAGAGGAGCAATGAAAATGATGTGTGTGGAGCTGGCTGGAAAAATCAAAACACACTGTGGAGACGGTTCAGTTTCACCAAATTTTCTGCCAGTCGGCCTGTCCAGCTATTCTGCAACCTGCCTAGCAGTGTGGGGAGCCTGGGCTTTCCAGGGTCTATGGCACTGGAGCTGCCTGCCACGCAGACTACTACAGGGCCAGGATTTCTTTCCCTTTTGCAGAGAATTTTGAAATATTTGTTTCCTAATCAGAATAAAACCAAATTTCAAGATGCTAGTCCTCTGTGAAATGGAATTACCTTTCTCTGCCCCGTTCTTCTTTGTTGATTTAGAAAAGCACTTTACTAGCTATGCTAGTCTGAAACCAGTGGCCTTTTGAGTTCTGTGATTGGGGGGCTTATTCTTCTTTCATTTCATGTCCTCATTTTAAATAGTTTATATTTGCACTGATGGATATGGAGATGGGCCCCTTTCTTTACCTGCATATTCCTCTTAGTAGAGAGGTCTGTTTCTATTCCCAGCAGTTCAAAGGAAGTCATAAAGCTCTTGCTAGTGACAGAAATTGCTGGTAGGAGAAATGAATTTTATTTTGCATTTTTATTGCTATTTAGCACCAGCTTAGTTCAGGATCCCACTGCTAGGAGCTGCACAAACACATAGCAAGGGAGAGAGTCCCTGCCCAGAAGAGTATACAGTCTAAATACACAAGACTGGTGAGAGTGAGTATCCCCATTTACAGATGGGGAACTAACGTACAGCAGGGTAAGGGCTTGTCTACATGAACAGTTAGTGCACGGCAAGCTGGGGTGTAAATCTACATCATGCTGGCCTGCCATGCAGTGACTGACTGTATGAACCCTGCTGCTGAACACTAAAAGTTCTCTAGTGCGCTTTGATCTACTCCAGTTTCCATAGGCAGCTTGTGAAAATATTTTTTGGTGGAGGCTTCCTGCCTGCCTGCACTCACCCACAGTGGCAGCTCCTGTCCCACAGGGCTGGGTCCAGCTCCCCGTTTCAACCCATTGGCTCTCACTGCTCGCAAGTTTGAAAGAGCCTAACAGTGTCACTTGACGTGCAATTTGCATGCAGGCAGAACCCCTCCCCAGCAATATCCCACCCACCCTGCCCCTTTCACCCTGGTCCTGCTGGTGAATGTGGGGCCTCAGATTTCCTCTCTCCCCGTGGGACTCTTGCCTTGTCACAGCAAACCTCATTCCAGTCCTCAACAGGGGACTCTACTCCATGCCAACCCCCAATTCCTCTTCTTTGAACCCTGCCCCCCCTCCCAGGATCCCATTGCACAGGTCTCTCCGGCTCACCTGCCGCGGCTCCCCAGACACCACAGTTCCTCTTCCTCCTGGTCTGATCCAGACACTGCTCCTGAGCCTCCCTGCCTGTCAGAGCCTTCTGCAAATGGCACTCTTGAAACTTCAACCTTCCAGGGAAGTGCTGCTGAGAGCCAGGAGCCAGCACCCCCTGTTGGGATTGAGGTATCGAGCTGAACTTGCTGGCAGTCCAGCCCACAGGCAGGGCCCTCCCTTTGCAATGCTCCATCCTGAGGGTTCTCAACCTTTTTCTTTCTGAGGACCCCCCCAGCATGCTATAAAACCTCCACGGCCCACATGTGTCGTCACAACAACTGATTTTCTGCATATAAAAGCCAGGGCCGGCGTTAGGGCATAGCAAACAGGGAAATTGCTTGGGGACCCATGCCACAGGGAGTCCCATGAAGCTAAGCTGCTCAGGCTTCAGCTTCAGCCCCAGGTGACAGGGCTCAGGGCCCAGGGCTTCAGCCCCATGCAGTGAGGATTTGGCTTTCTGCCCTGGGCCCCAGTGAGTCTGATGCTGACCCTGCTTGATGGGCCTCCTGAACCCTGCTCACAGCCCCCCAGGGTGCCATGGACCCCTAGTTGAGAACCACTGCCCCATCCCACTCTGCCCCCTTCCTGGCTCTGGCATCACCAGATGTGGGACTTCGTCTGCCAACCTGGGTGGGTCAGAAAATGGCAATGCAGAGATTGATTGGGGAGGGCTGAGCCGCCTCTAGCCATAGCCACCCTCTGCCTGTGCACTTTTCGAAGTGGAGTAGAGCAAAGCATATTCCAGAGCTTTTAGTTCATGGCAGCAAGGTCCACACTGACGGTGCACAGCAGACTAGTGTGAGGAAGATTTTTACCCCAGCTTGCTGCGCATTAATTCTTCGTATAGAGAAGCCCTAAGTGACTTGACCAGGATCACACAGGAAGTCTGTGGCAAAGCAGAAAATTAAACTCAGGTGTCCCAAGTCTCTGGTCAGTGCCATAACCCACAACCCTATCCTTGTAATGGTTATATATTGAAGTCAGGTAAGACAAGCATTCTCACATGTGTCAGTTATGCAGGAATCTACTGTGGCTGCTTCTCAAATGTCTTTTAAGTCATTAAGACTAGACTGAGCACTGGAGAATGTGCTGCATGGAACAATTAGGTATGTGTGTGGGAGGGGGGGTAAAATGACACACTGACAATCGGCCTTTTCCCACCTACCTGTGATTTTTTTTTTAAGGAATCTGTTTCATTTAAAGTTAGGACATTTAACTGCTGAGTGTGAAGCTGCTGGAGTGAGAATCAGTACCTCCAAATCAGAGATCTTGGTCCTCTCTCGGAAGAAAGTGGACTGTTCTCTCCAGGTGAGTGGGGAGCAGCTGCCCTTAGTGGAAGACAGGAATCTAGGAGTCTTGTTCACAAGTGATTGGGAATGGGAGATTGACTGGCGGATTGCTGCAGTGGCAGCAATGATGCAGGCGCTGTACTGATCTGTGGTGGTAAAGTGGAAACTCTTGGCCGAAGCTCTCTGTTGACAGGCCAGTCTATGTCCCCATCCTCAACTGTGGTCATGAACTTTGGGTAATGACTTAAAGAATGAGATTGCAGGTACAAATGGTGGAAATGAGGTTTCTCCACAGAGTGGCTGGGCTTATTGTCCGAGACAGGGTGAGGGGCTCGGCTGTTCGGGAGAGCCTGGAGTAGAGCCCATACTCCTCCAGATTGAGAGGAGCCATCTGAGGTGGTTCCGGTACCTGACAAGGAGGCTTCTTTTGGAACTCTACTGGGCACGTCCCACTGGGAGAAGGCCCTGAGGCTGACCCAGGACACGCCAGAGGGATTATATCTCCCAGCTGGCCTGAGAGCGCCCCAGGAGGAGCTGGAACCTGTTGCGGACGTAAGGGAAGTCTGTTCCTTCCAACTCCATGCTGTTGCCGCGACCCCCACCAGGAAAAGTGGCATGACGAAGACGACCTTTCAAAAAGTGAAATGTGAATGCTGCTTTTCCACTCCCGCTGCCCTTCACCTCCTTTCTGACTGCTCTGTGAATGTTTTATAGCACTGAGGCTATGAAGCACTACCTATTTCTCTTGTCTGAGGCTTCAGTTTGGTC